GGAGGCCTGGGCAGGGTTTAGATAGTGGTGGACTTTCGGCATTCATAGACGAGCGTCAGTGTAAGAGCAATGCAACTGTTTTGCAAAGTATGTGCATTTATGTTGAGATGGGTTTCTAGGCATTAGTGCTTCTGGGAATAATACAGGAGTCTGATGATCTATTGCATCTAAAGCACTACTCCTTTCTGGTTTTGAGGCTACATACTTACTCCTGCATGAAGCGGAAAGCCAGCCTTTGACCACAGTGAACCCTGTCTACCTCTCCACAATTCTTGGTTGTATCCCACACAACCAGACCCTGGACGGGGAGGGGAAAAGGGAGGGGAAGGATGAGAGACTGCACACACCAAAACAGGGGCTCCTAAGGCAGGACATCCAAGGGTTTTGGAAGGGCATCGAGTTCCCCCAGGTAGGGTCATTTAAGGAGCGATTGACAACTGTCAATCATCCCATACCTGGTAACCCTTTGGCCATTTTTCAGTGATCTCTACTATTATTTTTCCTTAAATAGACACATCGTGTTCACAAAAAAATTTATATTAAAATCAAAAAGTTTACCCTAAAGGGAAATCTTGTATCACAATCATAAAATGAGAAGGTCGTGGTAAAAATACATGGTGTGGAGATAGGATGGAAATCAGTACTTCTGCATACTGAAGCATCCGTCTAAATTAAAAGAGAAAAGAGCAGCTACTGACATGGTGACAGGGCCAGCCTGGCCCCAACCGAGCTGACCTGAGACTCTCCCCGGCTGAGAGGGCACTGACAGGACGGCAGGCTAAGCTGCTGCCTGTGACACCGGCCTCCTATGTCACAGTGCTAGTCAGGCCAGGCAATTCCACTTCCGATCCAGCTCCCTGCTAATGCACCTGGGAAGGCAGCAGCAGATGGCCCAAGTGCTGGGGCCCCTGCCACCCACGAGAGAGACCTCAATGGAACTCCTAGTTCCTGGCTTCAGCCTGGCCCAGCCCTGGGCCCTGGCAGCCATTTTGGAGTGTGAAGCAGCAGCTGGAAGTGCTCTCTTTATCTCTCCCACTCTACCTGTCAAATAAGCAAAATAAATCTTAAGGAAGGGAGGAGGGAAGGAGAGAACTGAGGCGGCAGTAACTTCCTCACCATATAATTTAACGTTATTTAACTCCTCATCTGCAAATTACCTAAAATGCCCCCAGCAGGAAGGAACCAAGGGCAGACGGTGCTTGGACCAGCTGTCCCCCTCAGCCCCTGTGGAGCAATGCCGAGCCCCGTGGATTCTAAGCCAGGTGACTTCCACAGCCCCCAGCACAGCGAGGGGCACACAAGAGACACTAATCAAAAGCCCTAAATCAGAGCTCATTGATGTTCTACAATCTTTTGGCTCCATTTCATAAAAAGTAAAAAATTAACAGTGATATTTTATATTTCCTAATATCACATTCCTCCCCCTTGGGAGAAAAGACTGTTGATAAGAAACTAAAAAAACATAACCCCAAACTCTCAAAAATGAGCTGCTGAATAGCTCCCACGGGATGTCTAAGAATGCATAGGTGAACTCAGTGTCAAAGGACAAAGAAATCTCTCTCACGAAGCGGGCACACAGAGAACTGTTCGGTTGCAGAGGAGGTGCTCAGGGATGTCCATGCAGCCTCCAGCGAATCCTGGCCTCGGGGAGCTGGCTTTGTGCTCTGTTCCCCATCCAGGTGCTCTTTGCTCTTCCTTCCTTGTAAGGCCCCTGCCTGTCACTCACATTCAGCAAGGGGGTGGGTGTGAGCGGGGAGAGCGCGCAGGGGCTGCCGATGCAGGGCTGCACCTGCTCGAAGGCGCCGTCATGAGCATTCGTGGGGTGCTTTTACCCGGAGTCGTGTCAGCCTTGTGGAGGGCTATTTTCTCTAATCGGTGTCACTGGGACTAGAAGACGTGACAGTACTGGTTGTAGCTTGAGAATTTAATTTCAGGAGTGACGGCTCTGCATTTCTACAATTTGCATTCTTTAGAGGTTTCTTCCAAATAGTGCTTTGGCCGGCATCGTCGCCCTGCAGGAAGTAGTTTCTTCGGTAAATGCTCTGTTAGTATTGGATTTCAGTATAAGACCAGCACAATCAATTCTACAGATTAACCTAATTTACGTGTAATGAATTCACATGTGCTGAAGTGACAGCTATGCTGCTATTTGTAGGTGCACTTATGAAACGTGGCCTCCTATTCCGAACAAGCACTCGCTGCTGCTTTAGATGCCGTTGGCAAAGCTTTGACAGCAGGTCACTGCATTTTTAAAATCACAATGTTGGCTCAGGCTGTAATGAAACATGGTCTTAAAGCGGTATCTAATAACCATTAAAATACTTTTAGAAACCTCACCATGCCATTTCTGTAGAGTCTCTGGTTAGAAATGCCAGAAATCCACATGAATATAAAAACAACATGATACAGTATTGCAGAGAAATTGAGACTAATACATTTGGCTTTCTTTTTCAGAACTTTGTTGCATTATTTGAAGTAAGAGATTTTCCATCTGCTGGTTCACTCCCCAGATGATTTCAATGGCTGGGGCTGGACCAATCAAAGTCAGGAGCCTGGAACTCCATCTGGGTCTCCCCCGTTTCGGGAGTGGCCCAAGCATTTGGACCACTGTCTACTGCTTTCCCAGCATATTAGCAGAGAGCTGGATAGAAATTAGAGCAGCTGGGACTCAAACCAGCGCTCATATGGTATGCCAGGGTCACAGGCAGCAGTTGAACTTGCTGTGCTGAAGTTTTGGGTTTTTGTTTTGTTGTTTTTTGACAGGCAGAGTGGACAGTGAGAGAGAGAGACAGAGAGAAAGGTCTTCCTTTGCCGTTGGTTCACCCTCCAATGGCCGCCACAGCCGGCGCGCTGCAGCCAGTGCACCGCGCTGATCCGAAGGCAGCAGCCAGGTGCTCCTCCTGGTCTCCCATGGGGTGCAGGGCCCAAGCACTTGGGCCATCCTCCACTGCCTTCCCGGGCCACAGCAGAGAGCTGGCCTGGAAGAGGGCAACCGGGACAGAATCCGGCGCCCCGACTGGGACTAGAACCCGGTGTGCTAGCGCTGCAAGGCTGAGGATTAGCCTATTGAGCTGCGGCGCCAGCCATGTGCTAAAGTTTTTTATGCAAAATATAAGCGTTTCTTCATTGCCAAAGTCCTAACTTCTGTAAGCGTCAGTGTAGCCATTCATGAAGTGGGGAAGATTGTGTCTAGCTCAGAGGGTGGTTAGAAGACTGAGACACTGCGTGGAAAGTACTCAGCACAGTGTGACAGTCCTGGGTTTGTAGTAGATGCTGTTAGTGTTACTATCACATGGCCTCCTCCCGGAACCATCAGATTCTCAGAAAGCAACAGGGTCTGCCGCAGACTTGGCCCCAGGAGGATGGGTCTCAGCCTAGAGAGGAAGAGGCAGGTTGACCAGATGTGGAAATACTGGTTCAGCTCTCCCCAGCATCAGACCCCTGTTTTTGTGACCCAGACCCTGCAGGAAAGAAACAATACCAGAAACATGAGGGATTTTCTCCAACATGGAAAACACTGAAAGGGGGAAGCTAACGAGGGGAGTGAGCAGGGTTCAGGAGAATGGAATTGTGGAAGCAGGTCGTCCACCCAGGGTGGCTCCTGCCCGCCGTGTTGACATTTCAACCAAGGCCACAGCTCTGGTCCCTGATCCGCCCTGGGAAGCTGACTTCTACCTAGTGCTACCTCTCCTGCAAGACATTCCAGAAGCTCAGGAAAATGTGCGTTCCTGGCTCACCACAGACCTTCATAATTTCATCAAATATATGATTTGAGTCTCAGCTCAGAAAGTCTTGGTGGTCAAGCAGCTCTGGGCTCAGTGGGCTCCCGGTTCGCTCTGGGCTCGCACCAGCTGAGCACAGGCGTGGAAGGACTCCTGTGGGTTGGTGTCTGCTGGAACTTGGGTCTGCAGGCCAAAAAGACCCCGGCTGACCCAACCGGTGTGAGGACAAGGCCTTGTACTGCTCACCGGTAGACTGCAGAGGCCTCTGCTCAGGTTGAGCCCCGAGGTGAGGGCAAGTCTGGGAAGACGATGAGCTTACACACTGAGGGGACGTGGCAGTTCCTAAACCCACGTGTCAACTTTCCTGACTTCCAAAGCTCCAAACCATCCCTCCAGGGATGCTGTAAACCCTGGCACCCCAAAGGGGCTGGACTCCAGAGAAAGGCGACGTCCACTTGTAGGCTGTGGGACTCTCTTCCTGCCTCCTCCCCCGCCCCATCCTCTGCGTTTCTTCCCTTTTTCCCTCCTCGATTCCTTTTTCTCTTCCTTTCTTCTCTTTCCTTTCCTTCCTTCTCTTCTTTCAATAAAGAACCATGATAAGAAAATAGAGGTACAAAGCAGACCCACAGTCTACCAAGAGGGCTGCTCAGAAAGGGGGCCCTTTTCAATGTCTAAGAGGCTCTGGGAGGAGCCAGTGCCGTGGTGTAGTGGGCTAATCCTCTGCCTGTGGTGCCTGCATCCCGTATGGGTGCTGGTTCGTGTCCCGGCTGCTCCTCTTCCGATCCCGCTCTCTGCTATGGCCTGGGGAAGCAGTAGAAGATGGCCTAACTGCTCAGGCTCCTGCACCCACATGGGAGACACAGACGATCAGCCTGGCTCTGGCTGTTGCGGCTATTTGGGGAGTGAACTAGCAGATGAAAAACCCTTCTGTCTTTCTCTCTCTCTCTGACTATAACTCTACCTCTAAAATAAATAAATAAAATCTTAAAGGAAACATCAGAAAAGGGGAAAAGCCAACCAGAACCAAGTGACAGCTGTGAGTTTCAGCCAGATCTCAAGCATCTGGAAGGCAATCACGCAGGTATTTTATCAGATACACCTCACGCTCACCCTCCGATGTTCTCATGTACACGGGGTTCTCTTAGTCTGCAGCTCTACATCTTCTCCAGCCATTAACACTTCATCTACAAGAACTGAATGTCTGAAACTGAAACCTCTGAGTAAGTTTGTGCAGTATCTTGCAGCTGGAACAGAGTGGATGTTCTCTTTTTCTTTCAGAAACAGGGAAGATTGACCAAGAGATCCACAAATACAACACGCCAGGATTCACCGGTTGCCTCTCCAGAGTCCAGTTCAACCAGATCGCCCCTCTCAAGGCCGCCTTGAGGCAGACGAACGCCTCGGCCCACGTGCACATCCAGGGCGAGCTGGTGGAATCCAACTGCGGTGCCTCCCCGCTGACGCTGTCCCCCATGTCGTCTGCTACAGACCCCTGGCACTTGGATCACTTGGATTCAGGTACAGTCCAGAGCAGCCTTGCACAGACTGCTTTATTTCTTTGAACCTCAGTTTCCCCAGCTGTAAAGTGGGTTAATACCAAACCTCACTGGCAGTGTCTTTGGAGGATTAAGGAAGAGAGCAAAGGAAGGAGTGAGCATGGAGTCCGTAGCACACACGTGAAAGAACCCAAAACTTACACGTGACCTGGTTGTGCAGCGCCTGGGTAAGACAAAGGTGAAGAGTGTAGGAGTGAATGACTTCATCTAAGATGATAGATGCCTACACTGGTGACTGGTGTGGCTGGGATGATTTGATCAAATCGCCTTCTCACTGTTGCCTCTTGGGACTCTGTGACTTGCTGCCACATGGTTCAAGTTCTGATATCAGAAAAGACGTTTTCCTAAAGTAGTAGAGATTTGTCTCTCAACCCTGCATTTATACAAATAGTATTGTAGCCTTCCAAATCTTTAAGAGCTGCATTTAGGCTTATAAAGTCTAGTGTATTTGGTCCCACTAAGATGATAAGATGATAAGATGTGTCATTTGAATGTACAGGACCCAAATGAAAAGATGTGGCTATTGGCTGCAAAACTAACTGGAGGAAAAGCCAATGTCTGCGTAACCCTGAGGGAGGGAGGGTCCAGTAAGCTGCATTTCAGGAGACTCAGCTCCTACTCCTTGCTCTGCCCAACTCAAGTATTCTTTTTTTACAAAGATTTATTTGAAAGGCAGATTAGAGGGAGGGATGGAGGAAGGAACAAAGCGATGCTCCATTCTCTGGTTCACTCGCCAATTGGCCTCAAGGGCTACTAGCACTGAACCAGGAGGCTGAAACTCCATCCAGGTCTCCATGTGGATGCAGGGACCCACGCACTTGGACCATCTTCTGCTGCTTTCCCAGTGCACTAGCAGAGAGCCGGATCCAAAGTGAAACAGCCAGAACTCAGAACCCACACTCACACGGGATACCAAGGGCACTTATAAAGAATGAAGCAGCTTAATCCACAGCGTCATGATGCCAGCCTCTCAAGCATACTTTCTTCAAAAGAAAAAAGGGAGGAGGGGCTGGCACTGTGGCACAGCGGGTTAAAGCCCTGGCCTGCAGCACCAGCATCCCATATGGGCACAGGTTCAAGTTCCTGCTGCCCCACTTCTGATACAGCTCCCTGTCTAATGTGCCTGGGAAAGCAGCAGGGGATGGCCCAAGTTGTTGGGCCCCTATACCCTTGTGGGAGACCAGGAAAAATCTCCTGGCTTCAGCTGTTGCAGCCATCTGGGGAGTGAACCAGCAGATGGAAGATTCTCTCTCTCTCTAACTCTTTCAAATAAATAAAAAATAATTTATGTACTTGAAAGGCAGTGTTAAAGCAAGCTCTTCCATCTGCTGCTTTACTCCCCAAATGGCCCCAATAGCCAGGGCTGGGCCAGACAGAGCCCAGGAGCTTCTTCTGAGTCTCCCATTTGGGTTCAGGGGCCCAAGCACTTGGGCTATCCCCTGCTGCTTTCCCAGGAACATTAGCAGAGAGCTGGATGAGCAGTGGAGCAACCAGGACTCGAACCTGTGTCCCTGTGGGATGCTGGCATTGGAGGCAGCAGGTTTACCCACAATGCCAGCCCCCTCAAGTATACTTTCTAAGCCTCCGCCTTTTCACCTACATGGTGAAGTGGGTACAATCTCTAAGTGACCCCCAAATGTGACATTCAGTAGGTCTTCCAGCAACGTGAGATGTTGCTGACGTGAAAGACAGGAAGGGGTGGGGCCGGCATCACTGCCCCTCAGCAGATTTCAGAATCCCAGGCCTCAGTTTTTCTATTTCCAAAGTGGAGATAATTCATAGAATTCTGTGTGAGCCACATTCAGCACAACCCTCTACATGGAGCAGGCTTTATTCCAAGCTGAGCTGCAATAACTAGGGGATTGTATTAGACACTATTTGCTAGAATGGCCACCAACTCCTCCCCCCACTCCGTCTTCAGTTTGTTCACATACACAGTGTGCATTTGATTGCTTGAATCATATTCCAGCCCTGCACACTGCATTTATCAGCTCCAGTGCAGCTCTCGCCATCCTAATTCCTTGCCAGGGTTGTTCGGTGAAGCAGCCAAAACTGCCCCATTGTCAGAGTAGCCACTTTACAGATGAAACAGTGCTCTAGGTTCCTGTAACATGCGGAGGGGCACCGTGTGCCAAGGGCACTGATAAAGAATTCCCTTTTATGAATGCTGTTAGGATTACACAGCAGGCTAGCTTTTCCTCCTGGGCTGGCTTGAACAAAGGAACACACATTCCTAATGCTGAAAGGAGAAAAGACACATGTCAGGGCCACGGAGGAAGAGAGATCTCTCAGATAAATTCCTCCAAGTGCCAGAGTGGACACACACAAGTTATCTGGTGCAAGAACTCAATGCATGCAGCTGTGAGCATGTGTGGTCTAAGCCAGCTGCCCAGGAACCAGTTTTAGTTCATTTTTTTTAATCATGCTTCATGCAAGACACCTTCATTCTTTTGATTGACTCATGAGAATGTACACGGGAACCGTTTCTGTGAGTAGTCCCTATTCAACTCAAAAGGCTGCAGCCCGGATAGTACAGAGGGCTTTTTGCAGAAAATTTTCTACTCGCATTCGGACAACAAGTTCATACCTGGTGTCAGCCAGATGCCAGTCATGTCAAAATTTGGGAAGTGCTTATGTCAAGCATGAATCTGGCCATGAACTCCATTAAAAGGACCGCACACAGCGTACCAACTACGAAGCAGAAGCTCTTTCAAATGACATGATCTGAGTTTCCTCTTAGGTGAAGGGGCGCAGAGAGCAGATGTGGACCGGAGGGAAGGTCACCTCCCAGCAGCCTCCAGCCTCCTGTGGCTCTGGTCAAGGAGGAAAACAGGTTCCTCTACCCTCTTTTGTTCTGTGCCTGGAGGCCTGCGAATTAAGCTGATAAAAGTCAGGTTAACAGGAGGGAAAAAACTCTATACATATGCATTTAGGAGCTGAGAAAAGGAGTTCAGCACATAGTTCAAGGCAGAAGCTTAGAACCTAATTAGTAGGAGAAGAGGCCTCTGTGGGGAGGACACAGGGTTGAGAGGTCAGACAGTGATGCATGCACCTGGGGGTGGTCTGGTCCTCTCCTTCAAAGCCAGTAAACCACCAGAGAGGGTTTAGGGAAGGTGTAAAAGCCACACCAGCGAGGGACGCTTGGCAGCCTCATTTCACAGAGGTTTCTGCTTTTTGATAAGGGACTAACAGGGAAGGTCAAAGCAGGTCTGGGGTCCTCACATCAGCAACTGCGCTCTGGTGTTGGAGGACCTACTTTTCTCATTTGAATTCTGACTTGCAAGCTTTGCCTGTTTCAGATAATCTTTTGTGTTTGAATAGAACAAGAATCTTTACTGTAAGACATTCACAAGCCCAACAACAGTGTACCCACAGAAATGCCATTTCTCACATGCACACTGAAGGGCCCCTGAGTCTGCGCATAGTTAGGACAGGAGAGGATGAGAATGAGTGGGTGCTGGCTGCAAAGGTCGGAAGTGGATTATTTCATCAAGTGCCTTGGATACCTGCAGCTTCGGCCCACCTGGAGTTTTCTCAGCAATGCAGAATGCCAGGCCCACCCAGTGCGCTTGTCAGGTGTAGGGCTTCTCATTCTCAGAGACACCTTAGAATTACCCCAGGAGCTTCTAAAAATCCCACTGCCCGCCCTGCACCTCTGACCAGTTAAATCAGACCCTGTGTGGCGGGTCCCTGGGTATCCTTAGGTGTGGCATCTCCCCAGTGTGTAGCCAAGGTGGAGATACACTCAGCCAATGAAAGTGGGAGAAGATGTCAGCGCGCCTGGGTTCCGCCCTTGCTCCACTTCCCACCCTGGGAGGCAGTAGTGATGGTTCAGTACTTGGGTGGATGCCTGCCAGGTGTGTAGGAGAACTGGATTGAGTTTCCAGCTCCTGGCTTTGGCCTGGCTCAGCCCCAAGTGTTGTGGAAGCTGGGGAAGGGACCCGCATAGAGAAGACCTCACTGTCTCTGCATTAAATTTTTAAACATTTTAAAAACTTATTTAAGCTCTTTGAAAAGGATTCATTTAGTTATTCGAAAGTCAGAGTTACACAGAGGAGAGGTTCAGAGAGAGACAGAGGTCTTCCATCCGATGGTTCACTCCCCAATGGGCCACAACAGCTGCAGCTGCGCCTATCAGGAGCCAGGGGCCCAAGGACTTGGGCCTCTTCCACTGCTTTCCCAGGCCATAGCAGGGAGCTGGATGGGAAGTAGAGCAGCCAGGACTCAAACCAGCACCCATAGGGGATGCTGGTGCTTCAGCGCCAGCCCCTGGTCAATCTCTTAAAGTTAAGCTAGAAAAAAAAAGACCCAAATAATGCAAAACAAAATTAAAAATCCATTTTAGGCAAAAAAAGTGAAGGTTGAGGCGGTGGAATCAAACAGGCTGTAGTGGGGCTGAGATTTTTGTACCCCAGTTACAACACCACATGAGATGCCTGCATCCCGTATCGGAGGGCCTGCGTGGAGGCCCGGCTCAGTTCCCAGTGCCAGCTTCCTGCTAATGCTCACCCTGGGAGGCAGCAGCTGATGGCTCAAGTAGCTGGGCCCCTGTCTGCCATGTGGGAGACCTGGACAGAGTTCTCTACGCCTGGTTCCCAACCCCAGCTGTTGTGGGCACTGGGGGTGGGAGCCAGCAGATATAACACCTGTGACTCTGCTTTTCAAATCAAACCAGATAAAAATATGTTTAGAAAGGAATGGGAGTGCTCGGTCTGCAGCATGGCCTCCAGTGAAGATACACCCATACCAGGAACAGCCGCAGTTCAAGGAAACTGTCAGATGGTTCTCCAGTTTTCTGAACAGGGTTCAAACCTCAGACTTCATCTGAAGGTTACCTGAAGATGATGCTGGGTGTGTGCATTTATGAAAATAAAGCAGGTACATTGTGGTGTCCAAAAGACCTCAGCAATCAACCAGGATGACCTACTTGCAGCAGGATAGCTTTTGCAGACACCTGGCATT